GTTCCATCATTTTTATATTCTCCTCTATTTTTTTATCAGTGTATTCTTTAGAAGCACTTAGTACTTCTTTGATTATAGTTACCACTACATTTTTTAGTTCCAAAATTATTTCTGATCTGATTTCGTCTATACCTTTCTGCAGTTGATTCTTTACTGTCAACGCTATTATTTCAGAGATATCTGGTGTGTGATTTCCAGTTTCCTCAGTCATTTTTTTCTTTAAAAAATTTAAAAATATAATTTTCTTTTAGCAAGAGTTCAAGCAAAATAGAAATAGTTTTACCTATTCAGTTATAGCCAAATATCAATGTGTTCAGTACACCATAATTAGTAAAGTAAATAAGTACTGTCTAAAAGGTGAGATCTACTTTGTCGCCCCCACATACACCCTGTAGTTCTCTCTCCTATTCTCCCTTATCCTTAGTGACCAGGATCATAAATGTTTATTTCCTTCTACTAATGTATCTATTAATGTCAATTAGAATAGGATTTTTTTAATTTTTACATAAACAATAATATATTTATATTTTTTTCCCTGAACGTCTTGCATGAATTTTTTTTTACTTAAACATACCATATGATGGAAGACCTTTTGAGTTTCTTTAGATGTGTACGTTGACTTTCCCTGAAATTATCAATTTACTCATTAGTATTTGACTTTACATTCTTACATTTTTATATTACCTAGTCTAGTTATTCAAATTGTATCCATTTTTATTTTACATTTTCCTGGTTGATACTAGTATGAGGCCCTTTTCCTGAATTGATTTGCCGTTTAGGCTTCTTAAGCTGTGAGTTAACTATTTATAACTTATTCTTTACATTTCTAAAGAAAGAATTTTCTTCTGGATTACATTCTAGTGTTTCATAAACATTGAATTTGAAATATTCTTTGTTTGGGTTTTTTGTTGTTTATTTGTGGTACAGGGATTGAACCCAGGCCTCTCCTCAAACCCAAGAAAATTCGTTTTGTGTGTTCATTATGTTTTGTGTGTTCATCATTGTGAGCTTCCTAACTCACAGCTTAAGAAGCCTTAATAGCAAAGCCAGGAAAAGGGCCTCAAACTCACTAGTATTGACCAGTAATATGCAAAATAAAAATGGATGCAGTTTCAATACCTGGACTACACACTTGAGAAAAAAATAGCTACTAATATGGCATTTGTTAACTATATTTGTTAATGTTACATAGTTTAAAAAATTAAACTTTTATCAGTATTTTTGTTTTCATACAGTTTTCTTGTTTTGTGGCCCTCGAGATTGAAACTAGGGCCTTCTCATTGAGCTACATCTCCAGCCCTTTTCTTTTTAATTTTTGAGACAGGATCATACTAAGTCACTGAATTGCTCTGGCTGGCCTAAAACTTGGCCTCAGCCTGTCAGAGTGCTGGGATATTGCAGCTGTGCACCACCATGCCTGGATTTTGAAGTTTTGAAATGTTTAGTATACTAAAGTGGTTTCTGAATTTTTATTAAAAAATCAGTTAAGTATGTAGTATTCAAATTCAGTAATAACATGGCAGTAGCAAGTGAGCTAACTTGTTATTTCTTACATCTTTATAAATTACTTTTCTTTTTCTAGGTTGACCAGGATGTTGTCATTACTAACTCCTATGAAACAGCTATGAGAACCGCCCAAAACTTTCTTTCCATCTTCCTTAAAAAGTGAGTAAGATTAACATAAATCTCATTGTTTGCCACAGTACAGAGAGTAATATATTTTCAAAAAATGATTACCCCAGGTTTCTTCCATAGTCTGTATCTTGAACTTGGTCCTCCTTGGTCCTTGATTTCTGATTGATAAAATAAGGGAATAAGAGTATTTTTAAGATAGCATTTTTATGAATTTTCTTACACCCCAAATTTTAAAGTAGTAAAGTCATACAGTTTTTCATCACTAGATTTTTGGAGCATTTTACTTGGAAAATAAAGTTTGTCACCAGATGTGGTGATGCATGCCTATAATCCAGCCATTCGGGAAGCTAAGGCACTGTGATTTCAAGGACAGCCTGGGTTACATAGTGAACTCAAGGCCAACCTGCACTACACAACAAGCTCCTGTCTCAAAAACAAGAAGTAGAGATTACACAGTCATTATAAGAATTTATTACTGTCCAGAGAGAGTCAGTATTCATTTTTCAAAAGATGTTAACACTTGCTAAAGAATTCTTAGTTTTTCACATTGCTGAGATAGAAATACCTGACACCCAGTGTTAAAGGAGGAAAGGTTTATTTTGTCTTACAGTTTGTAGAGGTTTCAGTTCATAGTTAGCAGTTGCAAGGCAGAACAGCATTGTAGAGGAGAAACAGTTTATGGCAGGCAAGAAAGCAGCAAGTGACCACAGCAGCCCTCCTGTCCCTAATATTCTATCCAGGTTATACAAACTTAGGGCAGGTAGCACTCACACCCAAGTGGGCCTTCCTATTATCCACACTCAGAATTATGCAAAACCAATCGGTAGACTGATGTAGTAATCACACATCCTTAATCCCACCATTACATACTTAAAAATTTCCAGCATCAGGTACTCTAGATCCAGCCACCTAAGAAAAGCCTATGACCAAATTGGGCTATCAGGGGACATCTAGACACAGGCTATGCAAGAATAATATTAATATTAACCAGTGAATTCTGCGTAGTTTAGGGAAAATAGACTTTGAAAAATAGATACATTTTATACCATATTTTATTTAATGTGCTCTCTTATACACCTTATTACTGAATACAGATGAAATCTTAGTTAACAATCAATCTTGTTAGTAGACATGTCATGTAAATGACATTCTCTTCATTATTTGTCTTTGAACAGATGTGGTAGTAAACAGGGTGAAGAAGATTACAGACCACTCTTTGAAAATTTTGTTCAAGACCTACTTTCTACAGTCAATAAACCAGAATGGCCAGCTGCTGAACTACTCCTTAGTTTGTTAGGGAGACTGTTGGTAAGAGTATAGCATTTAAAGATTATTAGATTACTAGAAGACAACATAATGAGGATATACTCTGATTCACAGATGATGAATTCTTTAAAAATGTGTAAGGAAATATGAAAATTGCATCTTTATTTTTGCATGTGCATAAGTGTACATTATATTTTCAGTACCTTATTGAAACTTATAAAATGTGAACTTCAGTGCTTTTATTTTATTACATAAAAATACTTTGTTTTTAATTTGGTTTGGTTTGGCTTGGTTTGGGGGTATTGTTTAAAACATCTCAACAGTGAGACATAAGTTATTGTAGTTTTGCATTGCAAAATGAAACTGTGAGCTCTTTGTCATAAGAATTTCTCTGAAACTGTACATAGTACTTTTTAGTTCTTGTGTATTACATTTGGGAAATAGAAAGAATTATGCTCTTTATTTTTAAACTACATTTGGACCTACACAATTGTTACCAAGCTTTGGAGACTCCTATTTATGAACTAAAAAATGTTAGTACTTTTCTGAAATTATGTTTCCTTGGCATCAGAGTTTCACCTTAGGAAATTCTTACTCAATATATATTTTGTGCGGATAAAAAAATGGAGCCTATACTTCAGAAAGTGCCTGTGTTAATAAGAAAGCTTATTTGTTATGTTTTTAGTAAATAAAAATGTTCAGTTTCCGTAAAAGTAGAAAGCAAAATCACCTTATGGGTCTGTACTAAAAGAAAATTTAATTTCCAAATTGTACAGCATTGCTTGGAATTTATATGATAAATTTCTGTGAAAAATATGTTGTTACAAGTCTGTTAAATATAAAACTATTTTGATGTTTAGGTTCATCAATTCAGTAACAAGTCAACAGAAATGGCTTTAAGAGTAGCATCTCTAGATTATCTTGGAACTGTTGCTGCACGACTGAGGAAAGATGCTGTTACGAGCAAGATGGATCAAGGCTCTATTGAGAGAATTTTAAAGCAGGTATTGAGAGAAAGAATTAAAATCGTGGGACTGCATAAAGTTAAATAGCTTATATAAATCCATACTTTCCCTTGCGAACTACTGTTGTGAGTACATGATACCATTTATATTTGGTTTCACTAGGGTTATAGCTCAGTGGTAGAGTGCTTGCCTAGTATGCTTAAAGGCCAGAGTAAAATTGCCAGCACCACCAAAACAAAACAAAAGTTCTGTTTAGTTTTTAATATAAGTAATTTTATTTAAATCTGGTTTACTGGTAGTTATGTAGCATGCCCAGACCGCTTTGATCCTTTGAATGTTCTACATCTTTTTTATATTGGAGAAGAGTAGGAAGGGCTTCATATTGGTTCATCTTGGGAAGAGTGTCTTCTTTCTTCTTACACAGGTATTCTTTTCTTCACAGTGTAGATGAGGTCTTCACACTCCTACAACATACAGCTCCTTTTTTCATTTCCTTTCTATTCTTACATTCCTGTGTTCATGTTAGTAGAAATACATCTATTTTTTTTTACTATACTTGGTGTTTTGAAATATTTTCAATCTTCTAGAAAAGTTGTCAGAATAGTACAAATTACTTCCATAAACCCTTTACCTAAGTTCGTTTTTTGAAAATGTATACATGTGTTTTCTCATTCTCTTTCAAAGTATACATCTGTATATATTTATGCACATTTAAAAAAAATTTTCCTGAGCATTTACAGTTCCCCAGTGCCCCTGAATTCACAGTGGCTTTCAGGATATGTGTCCTAAAGCAAAGCAACAGCAACATTAACATTACTTTTTTTCTTGTTAAAAGTGTAAATGCTTAGAATCTTTACTGGATCTACTGAATCAGAAATTTTGGAAGTAGGGCAATCATCGTTAACAAACCCTCCAGGTTGATTGTGATGAAGGCTGAAGTTTGAAAACCACTTCTTAAGTATTTCTGTAAACAGAAGTTCTTACTTTTCACATCCATAGCACAACCATCACATGCAAAAAATTAACCTGTAATAATTCCTGTTTTGTTTAGTAGGTAATAATCAGTTGTCATTACCATTTTAATGTTCCAATTGTCCCAGATTGAAGAAAGTTTCGTTGAGCTGATTTTTTATGTCTTTTTGATGCATTTCCATTTTTCTCTGAAGATTTTCTATTTGGCACCATAAAGTATTTCAGGGATATCTGTTACTTTCTCTCCCCCAGCATGGCATCAGCTCTTTCACCCAAGAATTTTGGTTGTTTTAGTAGGGAGTGATAATGTAGAGACCAAGCTATAAGTGGTATGTGACTTTTTGTTTTGCTTTGCTTTGCTTTGCATGTTTTGTTTCATTTTATGAGTGCTAAGGTTTGTAACTCAGTTGTGGAGCATGATACAAAAGTTCTCTACCACAGAACCACACCTCTAGTCTTTTTTGGTTTTATTTTTAATTTTTATAAAATAAAACTTATTGAAAAGCAACTGTACTTCCCAATTAATGGGGACAAACAAAAAACTAAGCACATCATTTACAAGAGTATTAAAATAGGAAATAATGATAAATCTCACCACAAAATTTACAAGACCTAAATACAGGAAACTAGAAAACATTACAGAGAATTTAAGATTTCAAGAAACATTAAAAGGTGAAACACTTGAAGATGATAATTTTTCAAAAACCGATCTGATAATCTTTTAATTGTTAAGCTTTTCTAAAATTGATATAAAAGTACAAGACTCCAGATCATTGAAACAACTTTGAAAAGGGAGAAATACTTTGGAAGGATAACATAACATTATTTGCAGAATGAATATGTAAATTTATAACATCTTACTCTTTTAGCTTCTCACATTAGGGAGATAATACAATGCTTACACAGTTGGATCTGATTTATTTCATTTAGGAATATGCTCCCAAGTTGCATCCATTTACCTGTAAAAGTCTCCACAGTTTATCCTTCTTATAGCTGAGTAATACTCCATTGTATAAAAGTATCATTTAGGGAGCCGGGGAGATGGCTCAGCAGAATAAGCGCTTCCCTGGCAAGTGCAAGGGCCTGAGTTCAATCCCCGGTTCCACAAAAAATGAAAAAAATAAACATACCATTTTTTTTTTTAATCCATTCTTGGATGGTGGCTTTTGAATTGTTTCTAAGATTTTACTATTTCAAATTGTGCTGCTATAAATACAGGTGTATATATATCACTGTAATATGATGTCTTTAATTGTGGGAAAATACCCAAAAGAGGAATAGCTGGGTCAAATAGGACCTCTAATCCTAGTTTTTTGGAGAAATCTCTACACCAATTTCTGCGGTGGTTATTGCACCAACTGTACTCCCACCAACAATGGAAAAGGGTTCCTTTTTCCCCACCGCCCGTCCAACATTTGTTAATGGTTGATATCCCGATAATAGCCATTTTTTCTGGGGTGAGATGGAATCTCAGTGTTTAATTTGCATTTCTCGAATGACCAATGATGTTCAACATTTCTTCGTATCTTTGTTTGCTGTTTGTGTTTCTTCATCAGAGAAGTGGGTATTCATCTCAGATGCCCATTATTTGGATTCAATCACTTAAGTTTTGGAGGTCTGATTTTTTTTTCTTGAGTTTTTTATATGTTCTCAACATTTTTTCCCCACATTGTGGGTTGTCTCTACTCTGTTGGTGGTTTTTCTTGTTGTGCAAAAGCTTTTTCGTAAGTTGAGGTCCCAGTGGTTGATTCTTTTCGATAGTTCTTGTGTGATCAAGGTTTTATTCATGAAGTCTCTACCTACACCTGTGTCTTCAGAAATTTTACCAATTCTTTCAGCAGATTTAATGTTTCTGTTTTAATATTTAAATCTTTGTCCCATTTTGAATTTAGTTTAGTGCATGGTGGAAGATATGGTTCCAGTTTTAATCTTTAGCATGTGCAAAGCCAGTTTTTCCAGCACTATTTATTAAAGAAGGTTTCTTCCAGTGAATGTGTTTGGCACCTTTGTCAAACATAAGGTGGCTCAGTATATTTGGAGTTGTTTCTGAACAACCCTAGCCTTGATCTTCACCTATTTTTTAGAGTTGTCCTGGGACCTCTTATGGCTCATATTGCTGTGTAGATTGTATATCCTATCTGGAAAAATCCTTTGTAAATATTTTGAGAACTTTTAACACTAATTCCAAATTCAGAAGTTTACAGTGAACCAGTTTATAGTGCTCTGATAATTTCTGATTGTTTCACCACGTTCCTAGAAAACAGAGTATTATAACCGTCACTTTCTTCTTTATTCTTAATTATGCATTTGGCTTTTCACGTGGTAAAGCTAGAACTTTTTTTTTTTTTTTTTCCGGAACCGGGGATTGAACTCAGGCCCTTGCACTTGCCAGGCAAGCGCTTATTCCACTGAGCTATCTCCCTGGCCCAAGCTAGAACTTTTTAACTGTGGACCATGAACATTAGTGTTAACTTCCAGTTTTGGCTCTATAATTCTTGATGGAACCTTCAGTCCCTTTTTTACTCATTGGGTAAACAGATTCCTACTTTATATCTAAAATAAAGTACTATTTTAATATTAATTATAAAAATATTTCTCCTCCATGGTGTTTCTCTTGGTTACTTTTTTCTTGTTGATGAGACAAAATACCATATGCCCAGAATTAAAGATGGAAAGGTTTATTGAGCTCAAATTTTGTGGAGGTTTCTATAATCAGCTGGCTCCATGACAGGGTGACACATGGCAAAGGGGCAACAGTTTGTGGAGGCAAAAAACAGCAAAAAAATAAGAACAAAAGAGGGAGGAGCAAAGAGAAGACTCTTTCTGCCCTTAGCATTGCTACTTACCCTAGAGTGGATGTAGTACTCACACCCGTAATCCCAGCACTAGACAATGAATCAATCACAAACTCTAGATTCAGCAGCCACCATGACTGCATGAGGCTTTGGGGAGATGTCTAGACACACACCCTAACAGTTCTTTTTGGGTAATATCTCATCTTTTATGTATATTAATATTTATGATAAGTTTCTCTTAAGTGGATTAAGTTCCACATTGTCTTTTTTTCAAACAAAATCAGTGACAAGGCCTTCTTGCATAGGAAGATTTAGCACATTGTTCCAATCATTTTATGTCAGGTATAACCTGCTTAAAAGGAAGATGACATATACTTTACAAAAATAAAGATAACCCCAGCTACAAGTTTGTATTTTTCAGAAGATAATTTTTGTTTTTCCCATTTAGTTTACTGTCTTTTCATTTTTACTATTTATTAGTTTTTCAGATTTTTCTTTATATCTAGATAATTTATTAAAACACTAGTAATATCTCTTTTGCTTTTTGTTTTCTTTTATTCTGTAGGTTTCGGGGGGAGAAGATGAAATCCAACAATTGCAAAAAGCATTGCTTGATTATTTGGATGAAAATACTGAAACTGATCCTTCACTAGTGGTAAGATTCTTTTCTCATTTTTTAAAATTTAAGTTCAGACTAAAAGATAATTGGGAGTTAGCATGTGGAGGAAATTATGTTTAATTTAAAAATTTTTGAAACAAGTAGATCATCTAATCAAAGAATGGTTATGGGTTGCTTTCTCTTATGTGGAATTCTGGTTACAAGTATTACGATATACTGATATTTGTGTGATAAGAGAAATATTTTGTAATCTTTCATAGCTAATCTTTGAATCTAAGCTTAGTAACTGATATAATACAGGCCACAAGGTATATAAGATGATCTATTAGCATATTAAAAGCCTGATTTTTATTTATAATTATTTTTAAATAGAATCCTTAGGTCTGTTACACATCTAATATAATGTATCCAACTATTCATATTATATTTATTTACTTATGTGTATGTGTGTGGGGCCAGTTCAGCCCACCAGGGGACGGGGCTGGCTGGCATGTGGTGCTGGGGGATTGAACCACGGTCCCTGTGCTTTGCTGAGCTTGTTCTAAGTAGGTGCTTTAGACCACTGAACCATCTCACCAGCCCCTATTCATATTATAGATAAAGTATAAAAGTTATAAACTTGTTAGTGAACAAATATACATGTTCTAGGATATTTATTTTATATCTTTACTGATGAGATAGGCAGTTGAAAGAGATTGGAGACTACTAAATTATTCAGCCAAATACTGCAGGTTTTTAACCTGTATTCATGGAACAGATTTATAGGTGTACCTAATTTAAAACTAATGATAACTTGCTTACAAAAATATGGCAAGATTTGGAAACAAAGGGTCTTTACCGTCAGCATTTTACTCAATTTGTTCTGACCCTTTACCTGTCTTATTTTACATGTGATAAATCATTGGTTAAATGGTTGATAGCAGTATTCTGTATTTAATACAATTATGTTTTAAGCCACATTTTATTTATCCATCACCTGTGATACTCCAGTTTTTTTGCTTCTAAAAGTCTGTTTATATCTAACAGAATTGTTTAAAAGTATGGGGCTGGTGAGATGGCTCAGTGGTCTAAAGCACCTACTTAGAACAAGCTAAGCTAAGCAAAGCACAGGGACCACGGTTCAATCCCCAAGCACCACATACCAGCCAGCCCCGCCCCCTGGTGGGCTGAGCTGGCCACACACACACAAAATAAATAAATAAATAAATAAATAAATATTTTTTTAAAAAATTGTTTAAAAGTAAACTGTAAGGTTTGCATTCTTGATGGTAAGCACTCTGATTTGCTGATGAGTTGGAAATGTCAGTAATTTCATCAAGTTCAAATTTATCTAATTTCTTTCCAGTTTTCTCGTAAATTCTATATAGCCCAGTGGTTCCGTGACACAACTCTGGAAACGGAAAAAGCAATGAAATCACAAAAGGATGAAGAATCCTCTGAAGGAACACATCATGCAAAAGAAGTTGAAACAACTGGTCAAATTATGCATCGAGCCGAAAATCGGAAAAAGTTTCTTAGGAGCATTATCAAAACCACACCTTCTCAGTTCAGCACACTAAAGTAAGATCCAGAGTGAAAATGTGTTAGATAGATAGATAAACAGACACACATCTTTCTTTGCTGTTTGCCAAAAACAAATAAGTACAATTTAATGACTTTTTATTGTAGGATGAACTCTGATACTGTGGACTATGATGATGCTTGTTTGATTGTTCGATACTTGGCCTCTATGAGGCCGTTTGCCCAGAGCTTTGATATTTATTTAACACAGGTAAGAGCAGCCAGAATTCCTTATTCAATGATTGTCTGATTGTAGATGCTTATAGAATAATAAACAATATTTCTGTATTGTTGAACACAGACATTTTAAATGATTGGGCTGAGATACAGCTCAATGACACAGTGCCTGTCTGGCAAGCACAAGGTCCTGAGTTCAAGTCCCAGTACCAAAAAAAATAAACTATTACATAAGTAGCCTTTGTTTCTGTAGTCCACATTTGTTAAATGTCCTTGTCTTTGCATATTCTTGTTTTGGTAAATGCATATGTATATGAATACATATATACAATATGTAAGTAAAGTGACATTATAAAAACATTCAGTTATCAAATTACACTTGAAGGATATTAAGTATTCTTGCTTAAAATTACACATTACAAGGTTTTAGTGGGGATAAGTTTCTTGAAAAGAAAATAGGATATTTGAGAATTCTAAGATAAAAGACCTCAAAGTATAGAATGCCTCACTTACTGTATGCGCTAATCTTTAACTTAAAGTAAAGTTATGGGTGATTTTTCTCATATGCAAATCACAAGGAGGTAAATATTAGTTGCTTTATACATATTTATGCTATATTTTGATGGATTTTATATATTTAAACATTTATGAAAACTTCAATGTTTGCTTGGCAGATACTACGAGTTCTTGGTGAGAATGCAATTGCTGTTCGAACAAAAGCCATGAAGTGTTTATCTGAGGTTGTTGCTGTAGACCCCAGTATTCTAGCAAGGGTAAAGAGAGCAAAATATAATTCTTCTTGCTTGTGTTTTTTAGTCAAATTAAAATATTAGCTCTATTTAGTATATTTTCTTTTTTTTAGCTTGATATGCAGCGAGGAGTTCATGGACGATTGATGGATAACTCCACCAGTGTTCGTGAAGCAGCTGTAGAATTATTAGGTCGATTTGTTCTTTGTCGACCTCAGCTTGCTGAACAGTATTATGATATGCTGATTGAAAGAATATTGGTATGTTTTTTCATTTTTATAATGATTCATGAGTATATTTTGCCTTTGAGTCTCACATGTTGTTTTAAAACGTTAGGCTAGGGCTGGAGAGTTAGCTCAGTGGTCTAAGTGCCTGCCTGGCAAGCATAAGGACCCAAGTTTGATTCCTGGCCCACCATGCTGGCCCTGAAACCAAGTGTGGTGTTTCACGCCTAGAATCCCAGCACTGGAGAGGCTGAGACAGGAGGATCACTATGAGTCTGAAATGAGTAGCAAGACCCTGTATCTAAATAAATTTTTTTTTAAATGTTAGGCTAGGGATATGCCTTAGAAAAAATTAGGTTCATGAACTGAGATACCACTGTATATATGTCACTTATGTATTTGTACTGCCTAACTTATAGCAACCTTGTAAAGAAGGATGTTTTCAAAAGATGTACTGCTCAATATCATAAAGCAAATTGTAAGTAAAGCTGAATTCCTATTTTCAAAAACTATTACTTCAGCTTACATTGAGCAAGTGGTAGGAATTAATGGATTAATTATCTTAACTGAGATCTAGAGTAATTGTATAAGTATGTATATAATTGTTGTAATGAGAAATAAATGAATTGATATTAAGAATATTTTTTCATCTTTTATGATTCCTTAAAGCTGAATTATGTCAAGCTCAGATACCTACAAATTAAGCCAAGAAGTTAATTGAGACTTAAAAACCAACTTAAAGACTCTTCTAGGATACTTTTTTCTTACATGTCATAGAATTAACTGGCTCTAAATTTTCTACCTGGAAAAATAAAAGAAATTGACATAGAAAATAACCATAGACTCTCCCCACCATCCAGTTGACATACTGACTTCTTATGCAACTCAGTACAGATGCATTTGTGTGCACAAGATTATGTATTCCAGTGAAGACAAGCTTTTTATTCCCATTAGTATATCACAATATTTGTGTGGCTGAGAATTACACTTTTTAGCCTCACCTAGGCATAAAATCTTCATTGACACATGAACATTTTAGGAAAGGGTAGAATTTTTCCCTTTTAGTGCTTCAGTTTCTTAAGAGTGAAGAGTATACCTGGGTGTGGTGGCTCAAGCCTATAACCAGTACTTGGGAGGCTATATTAGGAAGATCACAGCCGATTAGAGACCTGCCTGGACTACATAGCAAGACTGTGTCTCCAAGAAAAAAAAAGACAGAGTGGAAGATAAAATGAATGTGATTTCCATATAGCTAGTGAACTCAGAGTTAATCCTGCTAAAATGTTTGCAGAACTACTAAACTGCACATTGGGAATTAATACTATTACAAGGTTAAATGTCTGATGTTTGTATGTTCTTTAAAAGTTCTTTAATATGGCAATTTATAAGATTAAAAGTAGTATGAGGAATACTCATGTGTTCACCTACATGCTTCACTTAAATGTTTTGCTGCATTGTTTTAAATTCAGTTACAGGGGGCCTGGCTCTAGCTTAGTTCTTTAAGTGGCTGCTTCCACAAAGCTGTCAGCCTCAGCTTATTCTAGTTCCATCCCCACAACCCTCCAGCCAGCCAGTAGTGCCCTGAAGGCATTCGAGGAGCAAAAAAAAAAAAAAAAATCCTTATTCCATTGGGGCTGGAGAGATGGCGCAGTGGTCTAAAAGCACCTACTTAGAACAAGCTTAGCAAAGCATAGGGACCGCAGTTCAATCCCCCAGCACCACATGC